TCATCATCGACTTTAACATAGAGTAATTCGACCAAAGCGTTGACGATTTCCATATTTTGGACTTTTCTTCAAAGAAGCACTTTTTCACTGGCCTCCTTTCCACTGACATTTTTCTGATCACCCCATTTCAAGAAACGTTCGTATGAAAACTCGTACTGTCGCTTTGACTTACTAGGCAATAATTCAAAAACAGCTTTATTGGCAGCTTCTTCAATTTGCGGCGGAAGAAATTAATTTTATTGGGCACTTTCCATCGAGGAACGAAGAAACGAGAAAGAATAATTCGTGATTTATTGACGTTAGTTATCAACAAATTCAGTTTTTGTTTACCTTGGTAACTTGTTTCATGAATAGATTAGATTGAATTGGATTCAGAACTGATAATCTCGAGGCTGTTGTTTTAATCAATAATTAATAAGTAATGTAAAATAGTTATGCGTTAATTTGGACTTTTAATGGTGTTTGTAGAAAAAATAGGGTATGATATATGTGCTAAAAGTGTTTTTTCTTTTGTTCGAAGGGAAACTTCCCTTCTCACAAAATATAATGTCACTTTTAGCACTTATATCATAAATAACTATTTTGATGAGTAATGACATTTGACAGTGTCGATTGATATTTCGATCAGCTGGTTGAAATATACGGAACATCTTTTGATCAATGTTTAGGCCTGGACCAGATCAATAGAAAAACCCATTCTGATTCAAACCACCATCCAATGAAACCTACACTCCGTTGTTTTTTGTCATCTCTCCACCAATAACAATAAAAACGAAGGATGCTGGAAAACCATTGCTGCACAAAAAGTTGAAAAAGTTGGTATTTCCGCTGAGGGATTTGGGTTGGTTTTTATGGCATAGTCGAATTGGCCCTAATAAATTTCAGGAATTCATACACCGCCAGAGTTCGGTCGTCTTAAGGATTCACTGAAAACTGAAATATTCGAACAAGAGCTCTGAAATTTTGATTCATAATTGATTTTGCATAGCTTGAATGATTTTATTGGTTAATTGAGAACATTCAAGCATGGAGTAGTAGTTTTCTGTTAGAAATAAACAAAATATTGATCTGAATATTAGAATAAAAAATGAACGTTTGAAACAAACTGCCCATTGATGAGAAATTAACATGGGGGAAGCATATTGACATCCTCATAGGGAAAGTATTTCCCATTATTGGTGCTTTAAGAAGATGTCCTAAGCTTACATACATCAAATATTATTCTCTATTCACATATACTCAGTCGAATTTACTATTTCATAAATATTTGGGAATCTTGTTCCAAAAATAGTTTCAACAAAATTTCTGTTCTATATATAAAAAGGCATTGAAAGTATTGTATCGTTTTCCATATGATACTCCAACGAATCAACTGTATAAGGAAACAAACACATTTTCTTTGGAACAGCACTTTTAAATCAATACCCTCAAAATTTCCTATTATATCATTAACAAAAAGCTTGAATCAAATTTTATATTAATCAGGAATTCCGAAATTCATGATCATCACACTAGACAATATAACTTGTTTCATCTTGAAGCTGCAAATTCTAAACTTGGGCAAAAATAGTTTACACATGAGGCGATTTCGAAATTCAATAAATCACTAGATGATATCAAAAACAGCCGAAATATTATGCAATTCAATAATAAAGTGACGAAATATATTTATATGCGAAGGAATGATCAAAGCTGAAAGTCTATGAATTTTCTTTTTTTTTTCACTGTTTTTATTTTTCCTTTCCTTGTTCACTATATGATATGACTGTTATTTTGAGATATCTTGATGATATGTTAGTTCTGTTCACTATTCGTAATTTCAATTATACAACAGTCGATAATACTTCATGAATGATCTTATACCAGGAATTACTGTCTGATCATTCAGTTTTAATCTTCTCCTGAAGATGCTAACATAGTTAGCGAAACACGTGTCGAGGCGTTAAAATATCGGTTTGGTTAGTGGTAAAACAGTGTAGTGTATTATCGTGCCGAAGGTTCCAGTCTTCGATATACTCTGTTATATTGTTATAGAGAATCGAAAAACATTTCAAATGAAAACTCGACTCCCCTTCCTTAAAAAAACATGATCTTTGCTACATCGATTATAGTTGAATAACGTTATTCTGGTAACCAAATATTTATAAGCAGTCACCATCACTGATGAATCAAATCGAGAAGATCCAATCCACATATTTCAGGACAAGGAAAATAATACTATTTATAAGTATATTATTTGCTTCAACTTCTTTAATAAATAATGATTATTTTTAGAGCACTACCGTGGAAGACAGACACGAATTATGAAGAAAATAATTACAGGATCCAGTTCATGGACGTATACTACGACAAACAATTCTCCTGCTTCAACAAAACAATGCGCTATGTTTCATTTTCTTCGATGAAAAACGAAAATAATTGGGGAAGCGGAAATACGCGGATGCAGTCTCTTTGAAGAACTTTTGAGTAGTTCGTGATAATTACAGCTGCAACCAGATGTTCCGATTTTTCGATATTCGAAATATTACTTTTTGCCTCTGTTACATCGTTCGCTGTGGTACAATCAATAACCAATCAAGAAGGAGAACATCCTGTTACAACTACAAGATATCGGTACATGAGAAGAGAGTTAGGTATATTTGAAATTTCATCATTCATACATCGTAAGGCAAGAAATATTGTGAATAGTAAGTTCTCTATTATTATCATTAGTAAATAATATAATTATAGTGATTAGTGCAATGTAATTTCAGAAAATATAGGATTTCCACAAAATTCTGAATAACACAATCGCCTTCACCATCCATCAAACGAACTTCTATATATTTTTTTTTATCGCTTGGAGCGCACGAGAGGAAATCCCTATGATGTTCAATGTTCGGCTGACCAGGGTGCAATCAATGGGCGTGTTCACCTTAGTAGAACTTTCAACTCAAACCATGTTTATAATGATCCGTTTATACATGAATAACGATTGACGACATAATTCGATCGAAAAATTAACTGGAATAATATATTTTTGGACATAAATAATAGTACCTTCTGAGAACGAACCCACTTATGACGTAGAAACCTCATCGCGCCATAATTAAAAGAAAATACCAAACGCCCGACGGAGACTGAGGCAACTGATATGTTAGTTCTTTCAACTGTGATCTCGCGCTAATTCACTCTGTCAGAAATCATGTATCATTCATCTCTGTCTGGAATAGTCTTGTTTCAGTATTAGGGTTTTGACGTCACATCATCGCCTCGTTTCCAGAGGTCCGAAAAATCGGGGATTTCAATAATTTTCTATAAAACATAGGAAGCTCACAGCAAGAAACGGTTTGCGGTGGTGAGCTAGTTTGGGTGAGTTCTATCGAATTATGAAATACAAATTTTTTGTGATATAAGCCCATTTTTGAGAGACTGGAAAAGGTATCCTTGAAGTTTTCCAAAAACGAATCCAATCTCCAAATTATCCATTTCCGGTGTTTACAGATAAATCCAACAGTGAACCCAAGATGGATGTTTCCGGAAAACACACTATTGGAATGCTTCATCAATTCAGAAGACTGAAATTCCTTCAAAATGTTTGCCTCACAATAGACTTATCTTCTTTTTTTTTCTTTTTTATAGTAGCAAATTTAATAATTCCATATATCTTGTACAAACAATAATGATGAATTCAAACTCGATGTATATATTATAATAATAATATAATATTATTATTCATTCTAAATAAGACGACAAGTCTTGCACATACTGTAGCTTCTTTGAGTGGAATAGTTGTTTAACTCATAGAGAGTAAGCCAACGAACACGAAACATATACTCAATAACATTCAATTCAATTTTCAATTCATGGGAGACACATTTCCATTGTTTTTTCCAACTGCCACATGTCATTTCCCTGTTCTTCAATATGTGTGGGTATATAACGGGTGTTTCTCAAAAAAATTCCAATACATACCTCCTGTCCCTATCCTCCCTAGGAACGCACGATGTTCTTTGAACATTATAGAGATTTCCTTTCGTTCGCTCCAAGCGATAAAAAAAAGTGGTTCACCCCTGTACCTTTTTTGTTTCTTCCTCAGATCAACAAATTGAATATTCGGTGTGTGAAAATAGTACATAAATATGCATTATTTGATGTTTTCTTTTCCGGTCAAACCGGAAGTGACCCATATTTGTTCATTTCAAATGGGACATCCGGTATATTTTCACTTATTTCTATTGAGGATTACATTGTGATCACAATGAAACCCTATTTTCCACTTCTTGGCATTTATAATCTCGCGCGAAATCTTCAATCTTCAATCTAGAGTACCATGAATGAGTGAAAACCGTTGATTTTGATTCATCTTACCCAGGAAACATAGTTTCAATAAAGTTTTAATTTTCCATTGTTCATTCGAAATTTACAATATCGAAATTATTATGTTAACTTATTTTTTTCATATAGAACAGTTGAACTCTCCTCATCACCATATCTGAAGAGGGTATTTTGTTACGAACACGTAAAATAAGAAAATATGGGTCATTTCCTGTCAAACCGGAAGTGACCCAAAACAATCGAATACGTCGAATAATGTATACTTACCTCTTCTCTAGTTACACACCGAATTTGATTTGTTTATTTATGGAAACAAAAACGAAGAGTTCTCATTTAAGGCATAAATTCTGACTGCATCCTCAACACGAAGAAATATCGTTATATATGTATATATGTATAGATTGTCAACATAGCAATGTGATTCCATATTCATTTAGCCTTACACAAGATTCCTAGAGGAATATTTTCCACGTTGTATTCGAAACTGTGAAGACAACGCTCAATTATCCTAATGTAAAAACTGGCAAGGACATCACCGTGATTGCTCCATTATACAAAACGAATGCCCCACTTTTCTTATACACTATGTAAGAAAGCGAAAAAAACATTAGCAAAAATTGCCCACAATTCACTGGCACAAAGCCACAATGGAAATCCCACAAATTACCTAATAAATTCTAAACGTCCGGCACTTATGCCATTGTTCTCTTCGCACAGAGAAACCATCAAGTCGTATCTCAGAACAATACTAGCCGGACCCGCGAAAATGTTGCTCCTACTGCCAAAGCTGCTGTTCTGCCTACACTCGATCAAACTTATTTCGGCTGTGACCTTCGATTTCTCCCTAATCTACTTCGTACCGAACAACACCAGACAACACCAGTTTCCTGCTAGAAGAGAAATCTCCGAAGGACTTCGTAACGCCACCACAATCGTCCTCAATCAGCAGGTCCCGATGATCCTGCGAAGTTTCGATGTGAGTTTCGCAAGAAACTTAGAGAGTTTGTCGCTGCACGATTGCGGAATCAACGAAATCGAATCCGGAAGTTTCAAGAACCTCTCGTCCCTCAAACACCTAAACATCACGAAGAACAACATCAAGATAATAAAGGACGATATTTTCAATCACATGGGTGTGAATGTGCTCAACCTCAGCTACAACAAACTGGCCACAATTAGCCCTAGTGCCTTCGACAACATGGCTAATCTCACGGATTTGATCCTGGACTACAATGAGTTGACGTCTTATTCTATTTGGTTCGAGAATTGTCCGAAACTGATCACTATATCGCTGCAGTTCAACTTCATCCAGTATCTTCCAGCTGGTATTTACGCTAATCTACTAGACCACAAGCTCAAAGCTTACTTCAGCTACAATAAGATCAATAAGATTCATGAAGATTTATTCGATGTGGAGGAATTCACAGATCTGTACCTTGATCATAATGAGTTGGAGGAATTTGATTTCACTCTTTGCAAGATCGATACATTGAGTTTGCAGACTAATCAGATAGAGTGCCTCTCGGAGGAGTTCATCAAGAATGAGGTTGGGAAGGTAACAAGGTTCTTCTTAGGAGACAATCCGATCAACTGTAGTTGCTATGATCAACTGTCGACCATTCAGAATATGTTGGTTTCATTCAGTGAATGCTGAAAGCAACAGTCTTCATGAGGTATATAGATCATTCTTCACCTCCAAATTATCACCACAACATCTGAGATCAAGACAAGCAACTTGTGTGACAATGATTATCAGTGCGGGAAACCTTGAAACTGTAACATTTTTTACATACGGAACCTTGAAGCTGTAACATTTTCGACATGTGGAAGGCCATAAATGATATAATGAGTATTTTCCATCATTTTTCTATTCTCCTTTTAGTATCTACCCCATCATCTATAAGCACGCCTCTTGTGATGAGAATCTTCAACTAGTGAGTACTTTATTGATTCTCAGGAACTTCTTGTGATAGTATGAAGCTGGATTATATCCAACTAGAAAGCTGCGTTGAAATTTTAGTGTGCTAGTACACACATTTTATCATTTATAGTTGAGTAAATCAATGAAATATTGCAATTATTGCAGTGATATACATATAAGTATTATATGTTAGAGTTGTAGCCGTGGAAATTGGAAGTTATTTGAGTAATGATCCTATTTGAGAGATAATAAAAATTAGTCCACCCTCCTATTTTTTTTTATCGCTTGGAGCGCACGAAAGGGAATCCCTATAATGTTCAAAGAACATCGTGCCTATTTGGCTAGAATGAGTGTTATCTGAAAATTGCAACAGTTTATTTACGTATTTTGGCGAAAGAGCCCGAGTAAGAATAAGGAGGGCTCTTTTGAAAAATATAAAAACAACCGAATGCAATTTGTATAAGATAACACGTTTGAAAGTGATTCAATGAAATATTTTACGAATAAAGAAACTCTCGAAGAAATGTTGTATTTTTTTCCTCAGAAATATCATAATAATTACAAAGACTATAAATAAAATGTGCTAGGAGACATCTAGCTTGTATGGAGCATTCACCAAAACGCGATATTTTTTTCACTTTTTGAAGTCTATCTGACATTTATTTGTATTGTTTACTGGCGTCTATCGACACGGTTTCAAATGTGTTGCTATGGCGACGGGATGTTTTCGCAGTGCAATTATCGATGTAATTTCTCGATAATTGCATTGCTCTTATATATGAGATATTTTATATATGAAGAAAATATTCACTATAGTGATCGTTCAGAATTTCAAATGAGGAAGTTGAATTTTCGACAATTTTTACAATCGTCCACACCCATAGTATACCAAATGGGAGAATCGAAAAAACATCAGGAATTGACTTGGGTTTCCAGCTAAGTGTTCCATAGATTTGATACTACAATTTCGAACGTTTCCTCATATGACGGTGATGATTTTTAGACAAAACGACAAATCTTGAAAACTGTGATAGCTAAGTTGACATAAATTGGTTGCCCAAAATCAGAATCAAAATACCAATCAAACCGTGTGAAGAAAATGCAGATTCTTATTGAGAATAAGGAAGTTGGTGCCGACTCTCAGTACACCCTGTATAGTTGGGTGACTGAAAGTAAGAGGTAGATTGGAGATGATCAAATGATCGATCATTATAGCGAACCAATTTTAGAGATCTTTTTTAACTTCAAGTTGGAAAACTTTTGATGTGTGACTTGCGTAAAGCACTCTGTATAACTATTGATATTATCATTATAAAATCATCTAATTCAAAATTCATGATGGTCTTATGAATAGTATAATCAGAATATTTTGGTGATTTCATCAACTCATGTTGATAATATTCCTTTTCAAATCAAAAAATGTTGACGCTGGAAAAATGTTAATCTATCTAGAAAACAAACAGAATGCTGAACTCATTCCAGTTAATTTCTCCAACTAATTAGTATAATTTTCAGATAGCGTCTTCTAATTACAGCCATTCCCAGGGAAAATTTGCACCCTAACCAAACTTGCATAAAACACTCCAACACATGTAGTTGAAATCTAATGTTATTTTGAATAATTTGATAAAACTTTCTCTGTACCTCATCTAGGAAACCCATTTGCAATATACAGTGTGTCCGCTTTGAGGATAAGGACTCAGCACTCCTATATAATCGTTATTATCTGATCGATTTCCAAGGACCGTTTTTTTGTTGGATAAGTATTTGGAATGACCATCAAATCAAGATCAAGATAGTGATTTCATTCTTGAACTGTTATAGTGACCAACTGCGAAAAGTTTCAAGGGATACATTTTTCACGGAAAAATTATGATGGATTTTCAATCAGGATCATTTGAAACATACCTGTACCGACTTCCATCATCATAAACCACAGGGTGTCCGAAAAATCGAATTATTATTGTTTGGAGCATAGGTGATCTGAAAATGTAGTAGGTACTGTTGTACCTCTGAAAAGTAGTAATGACAAATCATCATTGAGAACCACTTTGAACATATCTGTACCATTTTCGACCATCAAACTGAATTTTTTCATCATTTGAAAAATAAATATTTTGTTCCTTGGCACAGGTATGTTTCAAGTTATCCAGAACATAAAAAAAGTAATCCTCAATGATTATTTGTCATTAGTTCTTTCCAAAAATACCACAGTACTGTATTTTCTGATAAACTAATAAAAAAAATATTTCGTTTTTTCGCACATCCTGTGTTTTATGATGATGAAAATCGGTACAGCAAGAATGTTTCGAGAGATCCTGACTCAGGATACATCATTTTAAATAAAACTGAATGATAAATAAGGTGGTAAGTCCTAAACGTGGACACACTGTAGGTACTGTTCAAAAATTTGAATTAGTTCCGAAGAAAAATAAACTTTGAAAAAAATCGATCACGTTCTATTCAATGTTGAAATCTGGAATGTTATTTAGTTAGTCAAAAGTTTCTCAGTGCTGCAATGATTCTGCTAGCTTCCATTTTGCAATGAGTGCATATTTTATCGCTGCGCCATGAAAGTTGCTGCAAATTCTTCACACTCGAATTATCAGGAAATGTAGACGCTGTTCGATAATTTTATTCATGTAACATGAAGAGTATTTCAAAGGGAATCGTTTCCCGATACTCTTTGAATTTCAATGTAGAAAAACATAAAACCTCTGGAATTTTCAAAATATTCATCAACTGAATTTATATAAGAATTAAGTTATAATGTCACAATGATTTTATGATTTCAAATTTAGATACTGTCTGTAGGTTAATCGAGGAGATTGTACATTCATTATTCCAGATTCTTTGGGAATTTTCTCTCCTCGTCTCTTTGAAATAAAAATATGAATACCATTTGAATATACGTGTAGTTAAGACAAATCAGATGATTTGCCCCAAAATCTCACTGCGTTTGAAGAATTTTCTCATCAGAGAACCTAAAGGGAAAATTCACTAGCTTGTCAGTGACAATTTGTATTGAAACATGTTTGGAGAAGAGATAAAGGTATATAGAAAAAATATAAAATTTCTACCTATCTTTGGACGTTTCGGAAACGAATCTGATCCTGTTTTCAACACGAAAAATGGATTTTTTGTATGGCAAATTCGTATTTTTCCTGACCAATTCCTGACACTTTTTCGTTCTCAGTGACAATTGATGACGTTGGCAATCAAATGAGTTACAGGATGTTTTCATCAAAAAATCTTGAATTAACCATTTCCATTTCCAGATTTCCGTAGTGAATACCATATTCTATTTATATCAACTGAACGGAAAGTAATGCTATTGTCTCCGTTCAGAAGAATGCAAGCAGATTCATTCATTTTTCTCTTCTGGTTGTTATCTTCTTTTCCAATGATTTTAATATCATTCCACTCTGCCATATGTTGTCCATCTTCAGTAAGGATATGTACAGCTAGTTTCGATTTGTCGATATGTCTTTTCTTTATATTGTATTTATATTTTTTCGTTCTTACTGAGAGAGGTCTCTTGGTTTCACCTGTATAAAACTTTCCACAAACACAAGGCATACTGTGAATACAATTTTTTGACATTACCGGCATATCTGAAAAAATTTCAAGTGAAAACTGTGTTTATCAATTCTAACTCATACAAAACCGAAAAATGAAGAACTATCGTCAAAAAGTTGTATTTGTGTTTGTGGAAAGTTTTATACAAGTGAAATCGAGAGATCTCTTTCAGCAGAGATTATACAAGTGTATAATCTCTGCTTTCAGTAAGGACGAAGGAACATAAATAGAATATAAAGAAAAGACACATCGACAAATCGCAACTAACTGACCATATCCTTACTGAAGATGGACAACATATGGCAGAGTGGAATACTATTGAAATTATTGGAAGAGAAGATAACAACCAGAAGAGAAAAATCAAGGAATCTGCCATACAAAAAATCTATTTTTAATGTTGAAAACGGGAGCAGATTCGTTTCCGAAACGTCCGAAGATAGGTAAAAGTTTGATATTTCTTCTATAAAACTTTATTTCTCATCTGCCAACATTTTTCAATGCGAATTGTTACTGACAAGCTAGTGAATTTTTCTTTTAGGCTCTCTGATAGGAAAATTCTCCAAACGCAGTGACATTTTGGGGCAAATCATCTGATTTTTTCCTAACTACACGTTTATTGAAATGGTATTCATATTTTTATTTCATAGAGACGAGGAGAGAAAATCCCAAAAAAATCCGGAATAATGAATTTCGAATTTAATTTCACATTCCGAATGTTGAGCTGCTTACAATCTATGTGCTAACTAACTCTGATGTGTCTCGTTTGACACCAATAAACCAAATTATCTTTTTCAAGGTCACGTATTAAAACTAATCTGATATTGCGGAAATGAGTAAAGACGCAATTATCAGACTCTGCATCCCACTAGATCACTAACGAGCACGCAGAGAAAATTGCCTTAAGATTATGGCATACTCAATAATAAGGGCATACTTTAAGAGATTACATGCGGGTTAATTTGATTGGATATGAAGCAAAATACTCGATACGGAGTTTAAGATAGAAAAATAGTACATTATACATTTAGGGACAGAAATGCAAGATTTTTTCCAAGGTTCGATTTGTAGCTCGAGGGCGAAGCCCGAGAAATACAAAGCACCGAGAGAAAAATAACATGCTGTCCTGAGGTATATACACTATTTTTTACGCTGGCAAAAACAC